GGGGCAAGCCAAGCCGGGGAGGGGGACCCTGACAGAAGCTTTTAGCGGACTGCGCCGCTAAAGAATTTAGTGGGCTGTGGTTTACGGTAGGTCTAAACTCGATCGAGGCATTGTCAGGCTTGAAAAGTCGCGCAGATTGATAATGGCTCTTCATATTCGGGTTGTTGATGCCGTGTTTGATGGAGAAGATGAAATGAATATGGAAGGTAAATTTGTTTTTGTTACGAAAGAAGAGATGAATCTTTCTAGAAGTGGGATTTGACGTGCATGAAATTATTGTGCATTGAACTTGGAAGGATGGTGACAGTTCGCATTGAGGATCGTGTTCCAGCGTGTTGGGAGACAGGCCCAGGGAGCTTCTGACGTGAGATCAGGGTGCCAAAATAAACTGTTTTAAATCCTTGCTAAAATATACCCAAATTACCCAAGTCTGTATCATTTAGAGCAGAAGCAGGGAGGGTTACGGAATCAGCCATCAAAAGAAGCAGAGAAGAGGCACGCAAGATGAGTAGGTTTCAAGTCAACTCAATGTCGTATCATAAAAAGGTATTCATGAAGAAGAAGAAACAGAAGCAAGTCGCTCGATCATTGCCGTCCTGTCTTGAAAGTCATCGCTTGCAATCCATCCCAATACTTTTACTTATACATAACACACATCAAAGAGACCAAATCACTCCATTATTTCCATGACCGTCCAGCATCGCTCCCACTTTTAGAGTCCTGCGTATCCTCCTTTATCCTAAAATCCACCTGCACCAGAATGCCATCCGCACTGTTCTCACTCGTATTATCCGCCGACACATTCTTCGTGCTGCGATACGTCTTGATCCCCTCGGCAGACGTGTCGCGACTGGTGAGGACATCGTGCTCGGGGCGGAAGTGGAGTGATCGCAATGCTGTGCCGCCCTTGGAGCTGTGTTGCTGTGCGTATCGTGACTTTCCTGTGCTCTCGCCCTGGGTGATGTCTCGTCGGAGGATGAACTTGTCGAACAGGGGCTTGACGCCTGGGACTGAGAGGGCGATGAGGGTGGCGCCGATTTCACTGACTTCAATGGCCAGCATTGGGTTATCTGCGAGGTGTTAGACAAGTTTTCCTGAAGATATGTGATTGACTTACAAGCCCAAGACATGTCGGCGTTCCATTGCCCTTCAATGACAAACACCAGCCGTGTAATAGAGATGCCAATGACACTAACACCAGGCAGAAGAATGCATCCCAATTGAATCTTTCGCTTTCTTGGCATCTCCAATACCCGAAGCATCACAATCGGGATACCAAACAGCAACAAGTCACAGACCAGCGACACTGACGAATTGACGCTATAAACCAATCCCCATTGCAAGCAGGTATACTTGTCAAAGTCAGGCTGCCACTCATACGGCCAAAGCCCCGTAACTGGCGTACAATGAAAGATGATAAGGAAAACCTGCGGCAAGAAGCCAGCGATCAAGATACCAAATACGATCTTGATGGAGAGTCGAAGGCGGTCGTGTACAGCGCAGAGTCGATGGTAGAAGGCCAAACCGGACATCCGGCAGAACAACAGCGCAACGGTGTAGACAATATGGGCGCCAAAATCGAGAACTTCAGTGTATTCAATCGTCGGCATGTCGAGAACATATTCGATATAGGCGAAATGTCGTCCAGAACCCAGCTGGATGAGCTTGATGCACAGGCCAACGAATACTACCAAGCAAACCTAACCGATCTGTCAGTTTTCTTGACGATGCTACACCAGTGGGGAGGGATCGACATCCGCGATGGGGTTCGGAGAATTAAGAAGGAAAAAAAAGAAGAATAACTTACCCATGATACCAAAGTCAGAGAATCATCGAGACCAAATCGTCGGATGAGGAATGCTCGCGACGCAAGACGGCCAAGCACAATAATACTCGTTATACAAGTCACCAAGATAATGCCCACAATGGCGGGTGCATCTTTGGACTGGTTGAGGTAAGCCGCCGTTACTCCCTTGGGGACACGTCCATCGGCAATAGCCTGAGCGACTTTGGGGTCCGTCATAGCGAACGAAGAGGGAGCGTAGGGTTTAGACTCTTGTGTTCTCCATGAAAAGAGACGGTTTCTTACACCATCAAATCTTTGTTTCCTTAGAGCAAGAAACTAGAGGGGAACCCGTAAACTTCTGGATCGCGGGTGCCTTGAACTCCTTATACAAAGCCAAGCCCAAGCTATTAATTTACTACCTAACGTTTTCCTCCCTCTAACTAAAAGGATTTCGGACTGTAATGCAACTCCACAGGGTGAAGGCGACCGAGTGGGAGTGGGAGAGGAGTGAAAGAAGTGCAGCTCGGAAACGGAACGACTGACCCGTGCGGAAGCTACGGACGTTCACAGTTAGCAGATAATTATTATTATTATTATCGTGACTGTCACTGATACAGAGTTTTTCTGTCCCTTCTGGAATCGTAAATTATCCCACCCACTTCTTCTCACTGGACTTGTTTCGGCACTTTGGGAGCTGCAGTGGAAACTGGAAAAGTGGTGTGTTGGGAGGTCTAGAAGGAGTTTAGTTTCTGTGGTGGCTTGCGCGAGTGTGCCTGGCCTGGCAGCTAGGGGAGTTGATGACACACATGGCTTGGGAAGAGTTTTAAGATGCAGATTTAGTTTTCTGGCGTGGGAGCCTGATCAAGAAAATATCTCGTATCTTTGGTTCGAATTTGGAAAGTGATCTACATTGTTGATCTCAGCTGAACCAGATGAGAGTCGTTGTCTGTTAAGATGGGCGATGCGATGGTGTCAGTCTCGCGTTTTCATTTGTGAAACTTTAAAAATATCGTGGTTCCTGAGCCGTGGCTACGGAACGGAACCATTACCCAGAACCCTTGCCCTGTCGTCAAACCTCGCTTACACAATGTAACGCTGCGGAAGCTGTGCCTCTGGATATTCGGTAACACGGCCATTTATCTGGGACATCAATTGCATATCGTCGAGTCTTGAACAATGCCATTGGTTACTCAGATAACTAACTCTGTTGGTTCGTCGAAATGGTTCCTGGAAGTTGCCAAGACTTCTTCTCAGCCCTCCAAGACCATCAACATTCTTTCTTTTGCTTCTGGAGTCTAGATGCTTACAGTCTTCAGTTTCACGAGTCGAGTACCTTCACAAGCCAAAACAGCTTTTATGTAACGATCCATTCCTTTTCATTAAAATCTCTTTCTCCCTTACATAACACGACTCGTCTTGCTCGCCCAAAACAAAACCAGAAAATTATCCTCCCGCCACCAAAGGTAAACCCAAAGTGGCTAACCCCCTCCCCAGGCTCCCGCTCTCTAGCCAAACGGCAACCCGAAGGCGCCCGCCCGCACACCCGCGATTTTGAAGCTTGGCTCGGAGTTTTGACCTTTTGAATCGTTCGATTTTGATCCAGATCTCGTACCAACAAAGAGGGGAAAGGAAATCGCCCAGCAACAAAAAGCAATTATTTTAAACCTTTTGCCGTTCGGATATACAACGCATGCCAATGCTGACGCCTCTGATTGAGTAGGATCATCATCCTGGAAGAAAAAAGCTCTCCTTCTCCTGAATCACTAGCTTCATGCTAAAATTCCAGCCGCATTCGATCTAAAGAAAACAGCTGCTTCTCTCGTACAAGCTTCAAAACAGGGGTCCTACTCGGCAAGCACGGCCGGATGAGCAGTGGTGGCCCCATTACGTAGCACCTTCATGTGAATTCTGGTCTAAGCTCGTTGCGATTTAATTAATATCAAAAAGTGGCATTTGCCTCTGAGCGATCTAAGCCTTGAAACTATTTGATGCCCAAGGGCTCCCCCGTTATCGATCATTGTGAAGCTAAAGAAACCAGCGGCTCTATCTAAACGTTAGTGTAATACTATTATAGCTTGGCCTTGCAGGGCAATTCGTGTCTGTCCAAGGCCGGAAGATGGTGTGCTCAGGGGTCCAAGTCCACGCGTACAGTACTGTAGAACATTCTGCAATCAGTGCAATCTGTCTTGCATCACCGTATCTCTATCACTTTCATTTCTTTTTCGCGGGCCAGTTCCGCCATTTCTTGCATTGATCTGTAAGACCAGCAGTCCCCAACGTGCACAAAGTGATTGTTCACTTTCCGTACCAATGAAAGCTGCCAGTATCCCGGATACAGAACTACTTGGTCGCCTATCTCTGCCACACGCGGAAGCATAACAAACTCCCCGCTGTCCGTAAGACCGATCACTGGCTCTAACTTGAAGCAAGCACTGATATCTTGCTGCACTCGTTGATTGTCCATGTCGTTCCAGAAAGAATCTGTGTCTCTTATCTGGGAAATGAGCTGTCGGTAGATATCCATGGTACTTTCGTTTCTCTTTCGGCTCTCTGGTGATTGTTCATCGTCTTGGTGCAAGATGTTTGCGGGCAACTTGTCAAGAATGTCTTCTGCAACTACTTCGGCCTTCTTGGTTGCTTCGGCTTCATACCTCCCGTCATCATTAGTCGGTACTTGGCAAGTTAATAAAAGGTACTGAAGTACCCGAACCAGTCGAGTGGCCGCAGGTGTTTCCCATTTATTTGCTCGAGCATCGTCAGCCCCGAACGCTTGCCAAACTGTCCAAAGTGGGTGAGTATCCTCTGTGTTCCTGGTAGGCCGGTGTATCATTCTGAAAACAGCCGAGACAAAGCCCAACCAGCTATCGCACGATTCTTCCACCGGAGGACTTGCATCGACTATGGTATGAAGGAAGAATGCAGAACATGTCAAAGTATCTCCACGAATACTCGCTGTTGCCAGGCTATCTCACTCTTCCGCCCTTTCGTAGTTTGGCTCCTTATAGCTTGCGAACAGTTCTTGGGGCGACTTGTTTTCGCCGAATGTCTCGGGGAAGTTATACACCCAGGACGGCAATTCATATTTCTGGTTCTTGCCCTGGCATGCGAGACCTGCGCCTGCAAGAAAGCAAAGCGGCCAACCCCCCACCAGTTGTTGCGACCTTGCTATCTCCACGCATACCTCGGTGTATACGGAGGCAACAGTCGTCTTGCTACTATAATCCGGCTCCATCTGCAGAGTCGTTAGCCCTAGTAAGGCGTAGACATGGTCCTTTGGGTTTTTGGCGCGATACTTCCCGCCCCAGAGAAGCAGAAAGCCCCGCATCGATCGAATGATAGTTTCGTCAGCCTTTGCTGCTTCGCGGACGCACACCCTTGCCCACTCGACTTGTCTCAACGTCAAGAACCTCTGACAATATATATACCAGAAGTACTGGTAGGCTTGGTCGACCTCCTCTAATACACTTGCCCTATGTTTGATGATGTCAATGCAGGACTGAGCATCCAGGAGGAATTTCAAATCAATAGACCGAAGCTGATGGATCACGACGACGCGCCTCGAGAGAACCAATTCCTGGAAAATCCAAGCTCGCTCCCAGTACTTCAATAGCAGCATTCGCAGCATGGCCTGCTCTGCATCCGCGAATTCCTGGGACTTGATAGGGCATTTTTCATCCAATAATGGATGCCGCAACAGCCATTCCAACTCCTGTATATGCTTGTCTTCAATAGTAGCGTCTACGTCGATGGCTGAGCTAACGAGGCCGCGTTCGACAGCTGCTTTTGCCAGCGTTTCACGAGTCTGGAAAGCGAGGCGAATATCCGACTGTGAAGCTTCTATATCAAGGCAGGAGAACACAACTTCCGCGGCAGGGTATATGAACTTCATCAGCTGCACTTGGTGACCCTTCTCAAAATCATCATCTTGGTTGATGCAAAGTGCATCTGCCCAAAGTCGACATGACTTAGTGTCTCTTTCAGGAAATGCATTAGCCCAGTGATGAGATGCATATTCCAGTGCATTTGCAAGACTTGGGGTGATGAATTGCTCCACGCCGTTGACAGTGATTGGTTCTGTTTTTCCTTTGTCGCCCCAGAGATATGATATCGCGCTGAATCTAGTATCTTCGTCGAGCGATACGGTGGCAAGGCTGCAAACAATTTTTGGTTTGGTAGAGAGAATCTCGACAAGGCGGATCTGTCGTTGTGACCGATCTAGAGGTGCATAGAGTCGAGAATCTTTGTTGGCAGCCATTCTTGTTGAACTGAATGAGAACGAAGATTCAAGGAAAAACCAGAGTTACTACAGACGGGGGTTTTATCAGCTGGGCTGTGCAAGATAGTCCAGATCAAGAGGGAGGTGGCCAACCCCTCATGAGGCTGACTCGCTGTCTTACCTGGCAATGGGCTGTGAAGATGAAGTGTAAAAGCCACCCTAGAGGAGTCAAGACCTAAGAGAAATGCCCATGGTGGCTGGAATCTCATAGGCATTTTTAGAGTGCACATGCAGAATGAGGAAGTTTCTGATTATTGTCTCATCCACCATTATCTACCTAGTTCTTGTTCCATTTAGGTCATGTAAGCTACTGATTGATACGTAGAAAACCTCGCATCGTTAGCTCAAACCCCGGTATCTCTACTTTTGTCCTGATTTATTCCTGATGTCCAATTAATGCTATCTATGTATGAAGCCTGAGTGATAGCTATCCAGCCGATATTCAAAAGCTCGGATAGATTCATGTTAGACTTCCAAATACGCTGACGGTTATAAACTAGCCATGTTTATGCTTACGACCGTTGCAAAGCTTATTTTCTATAAGTCCTCATCAACTTCGTATATTCCTTATCAAAAGTCTCTTACACTTTGGGATAGAATGGATATTGTTCGTAGTCTGCAACTTGGGATCGGCATCTATTCTGGGTGCCGGTCACATTTTATCTCCACTTCAGCCTCAAGTCGAACAACCTCGTGACTCTTGATTGCACCTTCAGCGCTTGCAGGTCATATCCGTCAAGGATCTTGGCAGGCGTGCAGACTTCATTTTTGGAATAATTCTTACAAAATTGGCTACCGAGGTAGTCAGAGAATCTTTAGTACCATGGCATTGGAAATCAGCTCAGAAAGAAAACCCCGCGTGGTCGCCCTCGGAAAACCCGAATACATTAGTGATGAGTACATCGAAGACTTCAAGAAGGATTTTGATTATGATGTTAGTCTAAAAAAATCCTCTTAATACTTCTACCATCTCAAATTCTCCCCGAAACTAATAAGTTGAGCTCAGGTCCTCGATGCCAGTAACCTCCAAGAAGCATTAGAGAAATTGCCTCTGATGCTCAATCAAAAAGGCCCAATCGACGCATTCATCGTCAGGATGGGCAGAGCTCCTTACCGTCCCTTCCAAGATATCTTCAAACTTCTCACGCCTCACTGCAAAATTATCACCTCAGCTGCAGCCGGATACGATGATTTCAATGTCGATTGGCTGACTGAAGAGGGAGTCTGGCTCTGCAACAGCGTTGATGCCGTCGCTGAAGCTACCGCTGACATGGCTCTCTTTCTCATCCTAGCTGTTGTGAGAGATACATACCGTGGTGAGCGTTCAGTACGTGATGGCAACTGGAGAGGTCCTGTTGTTCCGAGTAGAGATCCTTCAGGCATGACACTCGGGATCATAGGCATGGGCGCCATCGGGAAGTATCTTGCCAAGCGAGCTATTGCTTTCAACATGCGTATCAGGTACTACAACCGCCGGCAGTTGAACTCAGAGGAAGAAGCAAAGTACAGCGCTATGTATTGCTCATCTTTGCACGAATTACTCTCCCAGTCGGATGTCGTCTCGGTCAACTGTCCTTTGAACAAGGAAACAGAGAACCTCATCTCAACAAAAGAATTTGCAGCCATGAAAGACGGTGCTTTCATCGTCAACACAGCACGTGGGGCTATAATCGACGAACAGGCTCTTATTGAGGCCTTGGAAAGTGGAAAGATTACACGTGCTGGACTGGATGTCTTTTTGAACGAGCCTGATCTGAATGACTACTTCAAAGCAAGTGATAAGGTCGTTGTTCAGCCTCACGCTGGTGGTCTGACGGATGTAGCTTTTCAGAGAGGGGAGCGAGAGGCGTTTGAGAATATCAAGGCTTTTTTCAAGACCGGATCGCCCATAACACCTGTCAATAATCCAAAGAAGTAGGCGTCACGAGATGAAAAACTACACATAAAAGGCAATTTCTTCTACACTAGTGTATCATATAATCGTCATTATGGAGTACTACCAAATTCTGTCATGATTGGAAAGCCCCAGTAAGCTGGAAGTTCGTGATACCTGAGAATAAGTGTTGTTTTTGCCAAGTTGAGATAGGAGTGGTAAATGATATGCCGCCACCCTCAGGGAGCAAGAAAATATCAGACCTTAATATAGGGTGTTTTAATAAACTCAGAAAAAGGTATTCTGAACTTAGTAAAGATATGCTAAGCTATAGTACCTAAGTCTTTTTGTCATTTAGGATCAAGGTCCTGAGTATCTTTTTCTCCCCTAGTTCGCTTACTTGCCAAGTGATGAGTGACGTACAGTTTTACGGATCGTCCACTGATCCCAGTAAGGCTTTGGGTTGGTTGGTGTATGAGAGGTTGAAAGATGCATCCTCAGCTGAGCCTCTGAGGCTGGGGGCTAGTCAGCAATGCCGATCTTGATCTATTTCGATTCCAGGCAGGAGCATTAATTATGCTTAAATCCCAAGTTTTAAGGCCCTTCCCGCCTCTAAAACTTCCGATGCCAATCGGACCTGGTATTGTATTGATTGAGGAAACATGGCTGACTACCAAGCGGAACGCACCCAGTCCACGAGGTATTACCTACACTAAGCGCCCCTCTCAGTCCTCCCATTCTAACTTCTCATAGACGAGGTCAACACGAATCAATCGAGGGTCTAGATACAAATCCATCAGAGACTCAGTGTAGCTCTCGCCAAAGCTTACTCGACTCAGACCTCCCTCCCAAAACCTCGGTCGAACGAAGATGCCCTTGACGGCGGCGCTTCACTCTATGGCAGAGTATCGGTCTCTTCAGCTTCCTCTCCCTCGCCCTTGGAACCGCTTTCACGCTTGCTTCAAGCGGCATCCTCATTTATCTCTGGCGTGGTGCTGATCTATCACATGATCGCAAGGAACCTGAGTTTTGGACGACCATTGTCACAAACGGCTGGGCAGCCCGAGTCGCCACCATCTGCTCTGCCGTCATACGCACCTCGATCGCTGTCCAAGTCGGTGTCGTTGCAGCCGCACTTTCGGCAATTATCTTCGAGACTACAGGCGTTCGCTTCAATGACGTTCCAGTCCTATCCTCAGAGAGAGCCTCAAAATCGGGCTTCATCAATATCTGCCCAGCAGTCCTTAGGCAAACGACAGGAAGTCCATTGAGCATCTTGTACTCGTTCATTATCATCTTGGGCCTGACTATCGTTTCTATCTCCACATTCATCTCTACTATCCTTCTCTCTGACTTTACTACACCAAAGCTCGCTTCCCCAAGCGTGATGCACGACCGGGCCGTCGCCTCCAAAACACCCTGCCGATTGGCGCTTCAACTACAAAGGCCCTACGTACTGGGGATCTAGGCCATCTTCCCAATGGCTATTTGCAGAGGATCGGATTGGGAAACCTCAATTTGGCGATAACGGCGACGTTTATCGTGCCATGCTGCCGTTTTCGGAAGCGGCCTCGAGAATATCGCTTGAAGCGTACGACGGACCTGCTTTGGTTGCCAACGTTCGTACCATTTGTCGTCCCCCTCCGTTACAGAATTCGAGTATTTCTGCTCACGGAATACTTAGTCCGCACTTTGGAGACGCGAGAGATAGTGTGTCGGCGATCCTAAATACGACAGGGCCGTCTGAGTGTATGCTGTATTGTCGAGATAAGGGTAAATTGACAGGCTGGCCTGTGTCTCTGTGCGACTACTCCGGCTCTTTCATACCGCAGCCCGAACTTTCCATAGATTCCAAGACAGGAAGAAAACACAGCTTCCAGCAAATGCTCGTCGTCAATGCGACGACCAATATTGCTGCCGATGGGTTTAGGGATACCAATGGCGGACCCCCACCCGAGCGTCTGCGGAACTTGACTTATGAGATGAGCGATGTATGGACCAAAGCATACGATGCCAATGGGGATCATGTCTTGAGTGCTACGTTCTGCTTCGTCAATACATATCCTGCGCAGATATATAACGTCAGCATGACCGGGCGTCAAACCACCAGAGAGCCGAGTCTCAAAACCAGCAAGGTTGACAGTGCTCATCTTCAACTTGGGAACGGGGAAGACTTCGCAAAGCGCGGGATTCTCGACATAGATATCGGGCCGCGCCTGAACGTCAGTTCTCGTCTTGTAGACTTTGTCGAGGGTGTTCCAATGGAAGACGGACCAATCCACGATCCTTACTACAGAACTCTAGGGCTCGAACATCCAGCAATGTCCAAAACGACTTGGGGTATGATGTCACCAGCACAGGAAGTTGAACAAGGATGGTCGGCGAATCAGGCACATATCTCGCTCTTCCAGAGTATTATACAGAAGACAGAAGATCCTGCCGTGGCGGTTCAAGGTCTGATGACTCGACTGTATCAGATGGTCTATTACAACTGGCTCGAAGAGTATGACCTCAAATACCCTGTGAGCACTACTCATACGGAGGATCGACTTATACCGACAAGATGGACTGGACTTATCATTGTTCTCGTTCTTGTCGCAGTACATCTTGGGCTTGTCTTTACAACGATTATTCTCTTTGTGCTCAAGACAAAGGCTTCGGCGCTTGGGAACACTTGGCATACTCTTGCGCAGACAGCTCAAATGGCTGACGGTGTCGATGGAGTTGCTATGATGTTGGATGATGAGGTTGAGAAATGGGCGAAGGTGACTGGTAGGGACACCGACATTTGTGGTTTAAAGAGGTCGGGACAGGATGGCAAGGTTGAAGTTCAATTGTTGAGGAAGAGGAGCTGAGGATTGCATACGTAATTGACTGCGATGAACAGCGATTCTTTGAGAGATCAAGACGTTTAACAAAGGCTCAGAAAGAGCCATCTCGAATGTTCACCATCTGTTCAACCATCACCCAGTCCATCACGGCTCGACCAAGTCGCTTTTGGCTGCTTTACACGAAGCTACAGCAGATGACAGGTGCTGGCCACAGTACTTCGCATGGCCAGAAATCACCACGTCAACCTCAAAAGATGTACCTAGCACCCCAATTCCAAGCGTACAGCCCATGCCTACGACGAAACAAACAAGAGAAACTGAAGTGCCTTGAACATTATACAATTGATCAACTCGAACGCGAGCGCAGCAGAATCTGGGAGCACCTTGCAAGGCCGCTGCTACCCGTAAGATCTAAGGTTTCATGGTCTAACGGTTATGACTGCGGATTCTGATTCCGCCAGCGAGGGTTCGACTCCCTCTGAGACCTTTCTTTTTGTACTCCTACCAACCATTCTCACACTCTAGTTCTTCTCGTAAGGATCCTTGAAGAAGATGACCTGCACAGTAATGTCATCCCTCACATTCCGGCTCATGGGCGGATACATCGTCATCGCTCCCAGAAACAATCCCCGTCTTGATCCTCCAAGAGCATTCTTGACCAAGCAGACAGCCGCGTTGTCTAGATCCTCGATGACCTGATGCTCCGGTGTAGCTACCCATCCATATTCCAGTTTTCCCTCAAAGTTGGTCTCCTTGAAGGGCTCCGGCTTTCCGTTCTTCTTGGCGATTAACCAGCGCGACACGCACGACACGGCGTCCTCGTTGCTCATCATGTCCCAAAGACCGTCGGACGCGAGAATGACAAAATCTTCCGTCTGGATCTTTCGTGTTGTTACTTCGGGCCGAGCTGTCATGTAGGGCGGCGACTTGGCACTCGGTCGTGGTGCAGTACCGTAGAAATCGTCCTTAACTTTGCGAATGAGTTCTTCAGGCCACTTCCATCTGTGATCACCAAAAGCTCTCGTGATTGCCATTCCAAAGAGTCGACCGGACGCGGGGTTAGTCATATCCTTGATCTCTCCAGGGTGTTCCTTGTCGAGCCTTTCAACCTCGTCCTGGTTGAAGCCAGTTTGGTCTTTGCTCAGAACATCGACTGCGTATTTGCTTGCGTTGGGAGACCACATGCCGCGAACAGCACGGGAGTCGCCTGCGACAGCGGTGCGTAGAGTAGAGGTCTTGGGCTCGTACATGGTTAGGAGGGCACAAGATCCAGCTATAGCGGGTGCGACAGCGATGATGACGGCTGCAGAGCCTTGGTCTTGGCCTGATTCGACCGCTTCTTTTGCGTTGCTGAAGATGCGGTCGTCAAGACGGACGAATGCCTTCTTGATTGCATCGTCTACTAACTCATTTGAGCTGGTTGGTGTGATGTTTGACAAGGCATTCGACACGTATGGGACAAGAGCAGCTCTCAACACTTTAGATGTTGCCCATCCTCTTTCGTCTGTGTTAGCATCGCTCACACCCAATGCCTCCAGGTCACTCACGCATGTCCGTCGTAAACTCCAGCATACAGCGTGTTCGTTCCGCCGACGCCCTTGGCTATCTTGAGATCCCATTCATCCTCCATTGGGTTATTGCTGCCAAGGCGAGCAAAATCCACTCGTCCTTTGACACCTCCGTTCCCGTCAAAGACAAAAGTGTGAGCATCTTCACGCAGCTTGGCATCTGCGTCCTCCATCATCAACTCTTTAACAGGTGAATTGATCGGGATTTGATCCTCCGAAGAGAATTTCTGAAGGCCGGGGACTTCATTTGTCAAAGGCTTTGCCGCACCTTTGCCGTTTAACAGATAAATACCGGTGCCAGTGCCAATAACTGCTGCGGATGCCCAGACATAACGAGCGTTGCTGGACGTTGATGTCTGAGTTGACGAGAAGCGCACCCCGACCGGTGCTCGCTTGAGCAATGGACTAAAAGTCCTTAAAGTTCGAGACGGTATGCGAACCATGTTTTCTGATGTAGTTGACAGCAATGTGTAGAATGATGAGGCGCGTGATGAGACTCTTCGTGGAACACAGTTGGCACGACAACTTGATCCTGGTCTTTGGGCGAAAATGAGGCTGTAGTGGGCAGTTGCTGCTATCTCTAATGTCCGAAGATACGAATGAAGTGAGAATATCCAGTAAACAAAACTGACGAATTCGATGATCAATTGTTGATGTTTGAAGAGTGAATACCTTGTTTGTTGCAAATGGTTCGCATGGCGTTTCTGGCCTCAAGCTTACCCTAAACAGGTCATGCAAGGGCGATGTGCTGCACCTTCACGTCTAAAGTTCAATGTGAGATGCGACAGCACAAGGTAAGGTACGATACAATCGGTACAATCATGAGCAGCTTCGTAATGCACAGCCGTTTGGCAAACTTCACAAAAAATACGAGACATCATATAATCACAAAGAATCACAAAGGTATTCATTGCCCAATCCATTATACACAACGCCAAACCAAAGCATGCAATCCTCGACCTTCTAATCGTCTCCCACTCAGCTATTGGCAATCTCCTCCTGCTCATCCTCCCACTCTCCATCCTCCTCCATCTTCTCATTGACCTTGAACTCGGCATCACCTGCCAGACCCTCGCTGTCAAACTCATCCACATCCATATCACTATCGTACTCATACTCAAACTCGTCCTCCTTGTCGTCATCCTTCTTGCCGTCTTTGGCCTTGGCTGCCTTCTTGCGCTCAACATTGGCCTTTTGCTCCTTCTTTCGCGCCTCCTTTTCTTGGTGGCGCTTCTCCCATCGCTTCTCGAGCTCCTTGATCTCTTCCTTGCTCTTGTGCACGTACTCGTGCCACATGACCTTGCCGTCGGCGAGACCCTCTTCGACCTTGGTTAGGCGGAGGCGCATTCGGGGTCCGAGTTCGACGAGCTTGACGGCGCGGCGCTCTACGTTCTCCTCTTCTGCTTCGGGCTCAGCTTCGTTCTGGGCGGCTGCTTGTCGAGCCTTTGCAGACAAGACCTTTCGGGTTGTAGAGTCCAGGATCTCAACCTCAGCATCCGTATCAATCTCACTACCGCTAGTCGCATCCGTCATATATCCATCGCCATTCTCGCCTCCGATCAAGAAATCCGCTACATCCTCAAGTTTACCCAGATTAGGCATCTTGCCCTTCCGGCTTGTCTTTGTAGTGACGAATTGCTCAGCAGCGTTCAACCTCCGTAGAGGCTTGGATACTGTGGTAGACTTTGTTGTGATAGCATAGTGTCGGAAGTTAATGATGAATGTACCATCGTCTTCCTCCGATTGCTCGCGGTTCAGCAGCAGGACTCGTCGGATCGACTTGAGAGGTGTAGCTTGCGGGTTGATGGGAGGGAAGAGAGATTGGAAGACGGTCGTGGCAAGCGATTCAAGGTGCTTAGGAACTTTCGACTTGCTAGTCGAGTCTGGGCGGGTAAAGTTGTTCATTACCAGCTGTAAAGGGTTAGCAAAGGCTTGTCAACAGCAATTGACGACTTTTTACCAGAGGAGGAGTGATGAATTCCTTGCCGCCACCCTTAGGATGCTTCTGAGCTCTTTGAACATCCTTGCACAGTGAGTATTTCTCCACGCGAAAGTTCATCGTAGGTCCTCGGGGCGTCAAGGCCATTCGCAAATTGGTGTTTCCGCTCTCCGATCTCGAAAACAGCATCAAGTGCGTAACACCCAAAGGACCACACATGGAAGCATAATCCTTTAATCTGTTCCCGCGTCTCTCCTTCAATCGAGCCGCAGTACCAGGCTCCATGACCTTTCGCACATCGGCCGCAAGCTGGCTAACGCTGGAACCGACTTCACCAGCGCCAATTCGAATAACCATGCTCTTGGGATCCTTCGCGGATGCATGGCCGGCAGAGTCAACATCGGGATTACTGGCACCCAAGTGGGTTCTCTTCTTTGTTCGTTTGCGCGCCATTGTGAAGAAATTTGTTCTTGTTTCGAGTGTACTCGTCGAAAAGTTGCTTTGGAGCTGCTCTCTGTCGCAAATGGCAGAAAAGAAAAAAGTTTGGCGGGGACTGCGATAAGATTAGCGCACGTGCGATAAGCCATCCCCACTAAAGTTTTATGTGAAGTCTTGACAAAAGATGATCTCTTTTTTTGAGTTGGGAAACATCTTTTACCTAGACATCGTTCACAATGTTTGGCGCAAAACGAAGAAAGGTCGCGCACGATGCGCCCAAGAAGAAGAAAGAGGTCGTTTCGGAGAAACCTGCTCGACCTGAGCCCGAATCTTCTGAGGAAGAGCAGTCTGAGGAAGAGTCCGCTACTCTAGAGGAGCCTTCTGCTGAGGAGGCAGTTGAGGATGCCCCCAAGAAAACCTTCAAGGATCTCGTATGTCCCGATAACTACTAATTGACTTTCTGTATCTAATAATTGCCAGGGTATCGTCGACGCTCTCTGCGAAGCTTGCGAAAAGCTCAACTACAAGTACCCCACGCCCATCCAAGAAAAGTCCATCCCCATCGCTCTCGAAGGCCGTGACATTATCGGTCTCGCCGAAACAGGTAGTGGAAAGACCGCTGCCTTTGCTCTCCCCGTTCTCCAGGCTCTTCTCGATAAGCCCCAGCCTCTGTTCGGTCTCGTCCTCGCCCCGACTCGTGAATTGGCAACCCAGATTGGTCAAGCCTTCGAAGCTCTCGGATCGCTCATTTCTTTACGATGTGCTGTGATTGTCGGTGGTCTGGATATGGTTCCCCAGGCGATCGCCCTCGGAAAGAAACCTCATATTATTGTTGCGACACCTGGTCGTCTTGTGGACCATCTTGAGAAGACCAAGGGCTTTTCGCTGCGAACGCTCAAGTATTTGATCATGGACGAGGCCGATCGACTTCTGGATATGGACTTTGGACCTAGTATCGACAAGATTCTCAAGTTCATTCCCCGTGAGCGACGTACCTACCTTTTCTCTGCGACAATCAGCTCCAAGATTGAGAGTCTGCAACGTGCAAGTTTGAGGGATCCCGTTCGTGTGAGCATCAG